GCTCACCGCTACCTCTGCTTCCCAGGTACAAGCGATTCTCCTGCCTCAGCCTCCCGAGTAGCTGGGACTACAGGCATGCCCCACCACGCCCAGCTAATTATATTTTTAGTAGAGATGGGGTTTCTCCATGTGGGTCAGGCTGGTCTGGAGCTCCTGACCTCAGGTGATCCACCCGCCTCAGCCTCCCAAAGTGCTGGGATTACAGGCATGAGCCACAGGGCCCGGTCAAAAGACATAATTTATATTTTAAAGTTATGATGACCTGGCTCAGTTGCTCACGCCTGTAATCCCGGCACTTTAGGGGGCCAAGGTGGGCAGATTCCTGAGGTCAGGAGTTCAAGACCAGCCTGACCAACATGGAGAAACCCTGTCTCTATTAAATATACAAAAATTAGCCAGGCGTAGTGGCACATGCCTGTAATCTCAGCTACTCGGGAGGCCGAGGCAAGAGAATCGCTTGAACCCAGGAGGCAGAGGTTGTGGTGAGCCAAGATTGTGCCATTGCACTCCAGCCTGGGCAACAAGAGGGAAATTTCGTCTCTAAATAAATAAATAAATAAAGTTAAAATACTTCTAGAAATTAAAAAAGTAAAGAAAAAAGAGATATAAAAACAAATAAAAAAAAGAGGAAAGTGGATTACTTACAAGAGCTAAGATATTGAATCAGTCAAGTGTTCTTCAACAGGTGAATGAATATAGAAAATGTGGTATACTTACACAATGGAATGCTATTTGGCCCTTAAAAAGAAGAAAGTATTGTCATTTGCGACAACACTGATGAACCTCGCAGACATTATGCTAAGTAAAATAAGTTATTATCCTCTCAGCTTTGATTCACCAGGCAATTGAATCATATCTTGATGAGTCAGAACTGAAGGACTAATCTATTTGTTAAAGCAATTTGGGTTGCATATTACAATTTCAGAGGATTAACAAAATAATTTATTTTCTGCTCACGTCACTATCTCCTGTGTAAGTTTTTTTTTGTTTTTGTTTTTTGTTTTGTTTTTTTTTCCCTGAGACGGAGTTCCACTCTTGTTTCCCAGGCTGGAGTGCAATGGCGCCACCTCGGCTCACTGCAACCTCCGTCTCTGGGGTTCAAGTGATTCTCCTGCCTCAGCCTCCCGAGTAGCTGGGATTACAGGTACATGCCACCACGCCCAGCTAATTTTTGTATTTTTAGTACAGATGGGGTTTGGCCATGTTGGCCAGGTTGGTCTCGAACTCCTGACCTCAGGTGATCCACCTGCCTCGGCCTACCAAAGTGCTGGAATTAGAGGCATGAGCCACTGCTCCCGGCCTCCTAAGTTTTTGTTGTTGTTGTTAAGAGGACTTCAAAGGCAGGCATGGTGGTTCACGCCTGTAATCCTAGCACTTTGGGAGGCTGAGGCAGGCAGATCATGAGGTCAGGAGATCGAGACCATCCTAGCTAACGCGGTGAAACCCTGTCCTACTAAAAATACAAAAATTAGCCAGGCATGGTGGCACAGAGCCTGTAGTCCCAGCTACTCACGAGGCTGAGGCAGGAGAATCGCTTGAACCCGGGAGGCTGAGGTTACAGTGAGCC